TCCATTGAGTGGCAACCTGACGATGAAAAATTTATCTTTATGGTTTTCGGAGTGAACATCGTTCATCCACAAAGTGGCAACCTGACAAGGATGAAAATATTTTTGATGATGATTTTTTTGGTATATATTGAATTGAACATCGTTCATCCACTTCAGGAGGTCAGTCTGAGGGACTGAAATTACCAAGCCTATGTTGGAAAATCGGCATCGTTGGGACGTAACTCTCAGCGTGGGTTGCTGACCAAGTATAACCAGACAACGGACCTTCCGGTTTTGGCCTGGAGTTGAAACCAGAGGGGTGACCACCATGATGAAGGAATCAACTGAGGTAGTTAGTTGGTCAGAACTTAAAAGTATACGCGTTTTCGGACGACACTTTGAAAACAATTTCCTCGACCATTGAGGCCGAGGCGAATCGGTGAGAAAATTTTGAGAGTATGAACTCTCGTTGTTGTGACGCGCACTGTGATGGTTAGGTTAGTAGTAATACCCTCCGACCGAAAAGGTCGAAGGGTTGACTGTGTCAGTGTCATGTTGGGTAGATCTACGACACACGTTGAGACTTGGGCTGATACTTGTCTACCTACCGGTACTGAGCGTGTAAAAATGCCAACTTTTTTTCTTCTTCTACTCGGCCTCGAATACCCGGTACATCTACCTCTATTTGGACTGGTACCGACAAACCTACTACTCTCCGCTACTCTAAGTACTGCGGGCTTCTTCTACCTGCCACCTGGGTGCTTCCCCCACCGCACCCGTCAATGTCACGGCTACAGGTAAGTACCGGCCCCGCAGGCCTTTTCAAAAGAACCAAGTGCCTTGTACTCACGCACGCATTCAAGCCGACAAGCACTCAGGCAGGCATGCCGGCCGGTAAGCGTGCGCACACACAGACTTAGGAATGGTCGGGTCACTAGGCGGACTAAGCCCCACTCCTATACTTATACCTGGACAACTCTTTTTCTACTCGAAGTAGGAGTTAGCCCAGTAGGTTTGGGTGCAGATTATTAAGTGACAGACTTAGGGAACGAGTCCACCTTGCCTCCGGACTAGCTCCTTTCTGCCCGAGGCCAGCCCTACGAGGGCCGTATTTCACGACGCATCCGGTAGGTGGGACTCGAACCCATGTCTTCACGATTAGAGCAAAGTAGTTGGTAGTTATAGTTAGATCTTTCTGAGACCCCGTCGCAGTACTGGCACGACAAGTGGAACATCGGGGTAGTTAGTAGATAGATTATTTTCCCTATTTAAATCTCAATAGATTTCTTTCTTTTATTTTTTTTATTATTTATTTATTTATTTTGTTTTGTTTTTCCTTTGCCCTACAAAAGTTTGTATGTGCAACCAAATGTTTCGATGAATCTGCCATGGATTAAAGGGCAAATTCGTTTGAGTGGGACTGATGACTGCTTTGTCGGGTGAGCTGCGACCGTGGCCCGTTCGACTCCGCCAGAAAGAAGGGCAAAGGGGTAGCGGAGCTCGACGAACTCGGACGGTTGCGGGCTGATAGAAGAGCAAGGGGGTGCGGGCGCAAGAGAAAAAACGCGCGAGAAAAGAAGGTGACTACGCAGCAGAAGATGGCGCACGAGGAGTAGAAAGACGAATTAGAAGGAATGAGAAAAGAAGAAGAAGAAAAAAAAAAAGAAAAAAAGAAAAAAAAAGCAGAAGAAGGAAAAAGGAAGAAGAAGGAAAAAAAAG